TTATGTGCCCTAAAGTGCTGTCACCTTAGTGCGGCACGCATCGTGATTTATGCTCTCGCAGCGAGAAAATTAAATAATAAAACTGAAAATCTGTAACAAAATGCTGAGGACCGCTGCTCTTATGGCCGCTGCACATGCGCAATAAATTCGGTTTTTATGACACCTGACAAAATACGCAGCAGCCGCGGCAAAAGTAGCAGCAGCAACTGCGCCAGGAGATGCAGTTCAAAATGGAGATGGAAGCGGCTGCTTCAGACGAAAAATTGTTTAATGACTAATGGCATAGCTGAATACACAGGGAAAAACAATGAAGTGCTTAGTTTTGTACACGCTCTCGAATTTTCTAAAATTAAAATTTATTATATATATTTTATTAAGTCATGCTTCATTCCCAATATATCGTAGCTAAAATATTCCAATATTGGTTGAATAAACAAATTTAACTTAAAGTAACAGTTTATTTGATAAAATATATACACTTTCTACGAATGCTTAAAAACATTTTGTTTATAATAAATTCCTTCAACTAAAAATGTATTTGTAGCAAATATATGTTCTTTTTATTTGCTTTAAGCTGTGTATCTCTTTTTGCTAAAATGATTTAATTTTCATATCCTGACATTACCCTACAATTAAGATAAATTAGCTAAATATTTTCGAGCTGTGTAAGTGAGAGGTGCCCGGGATGCTTGGTTTCGTTTATTGCCCTGTGTCTATTGAAGATTAATTTCATTTACACAACTTCATCGCCTTGGCTTCAGCTTCGGCGTGGCTTAACACTTTGTTGCCCGCCTGGTTGCGTTTTGAAGTTAATAAAGTCATAAATTGTCTTACCGGGGGCTGGTCGCTTCCCTCTTCCCGGATTTCACTGTTCCAGCTCTAATACGCAACAGTTGGAGCCGCAGTCTGCAGCGGCGCAAATTGTTACGTGTCCATGTGTTTTTATGGCTTCTTTTGTGAGTGCCCACTGTTGGCTGTTGGATGGTGGTCCGCTCCGCTGCCTTCAGTGGCATATGTTGCGGATTAGAAACGGAACCGTGCCGACCCAGATGGAGTGTGAGGATTTCTAGGCACTCCAATTCATCACCTTTATGATCGACTTTAACTGAGAACCAACACCTTAATGTCGAAATGTTAGAGGATTATACGAAAACGCCACGATAATTAAAATCTGGAGTTTATAATGTCTTGAAAAAGCAAACCCCAAAGTCAACTAATAAAGTCCTCCCTAAATTAATTCTATCAGATTAAGAACACCTTTTTGTATTTCACATAAAATACAAAAATGTAACCATAAAACAAGAAAGGAAAGCTAACTTCGGGCGGAGCCGAAGTTGATATACCCTTGCAGAATACTCTGTAAATTATATTCTCCAAAATTATGCATATGATGCATTCTTAACACTCATAAAAGTCCCAACTTCCTAACTTTAAAAACACCAAAGTTATGGCATTTCCAATCGTTCAGTTATATGGCAGCTATAGAATATAGTCGGCCGATCCTTTTGCAATTTGGTATGTCGGATTGATTGGCCAAAAATAAATACCATAGAAAATCCCAACTTCCTAACTTAACAAACACCAAAGTTATGGCATTTCCGATCAATCAGTTATATGGCGGCTATAGGATATAGTCGGCCGATCCTTTTGAAATTTGGTGGGTCAGATTAATTGGCCAAATATAAAACCCATAGAAAATCCCAACTTCCTAACATTACAAACACCAAAGTTATGGCATTTCCGATCGTTCAGTTATATGGCAGCTATAGGATATAGTCGGCCGATCCCGGCCGTTCCGACTTATATACTGCGTGCAAAGGAAAGAAGGGTGTGTGCAAAGTTTCAATTCGATATCTTTAAAACTGAGAGACTAGTTCGCGTAGAAACAGACAGACGGACAGACAGACGGACAGACAGACGGACAGACAGACGGACAGACGGACAGACGGACATGGCTATATCAACTCAGGAGGTGATCCTGATCAAGAATATATATACTTTATAGGGTCGGAGATGTCTCCTTCACTGCGTTGCACACTTTTGACCAAAATTATAATACCCTCTGCAAGGGTATAATGATAGATCCAAAAATATTTCCGCTATAATTTATATTATAACCTGACATGCTTTACCATAATACGCTTTTCAATACAAAATTTTTTTTGGAAAATTCAAACTTTTTCAAACTTTTAATCGCGCAAAATATTTTACCAATCAAAACAAATTACCTACAAAGATTGTCTTTTATAAATCACAGAGTGTTCACGTGGCCCTTTAACGTGAAAAAATTAAACTAAAGCAAAGGAGACCTTCGGGTTTATAGGTTTATTTAAATGACTAGACAGATAACGAGAGTGCTCAATTATATGTAAATAAGCGGGAAGCAAGATGTCATTGTGGGGCCCCATCAGGTTCCTTATCGCCAGTCAAACACGGGCAGCTTAGCCCGGCTCCAATTCATTTTGATTCCGATTCCAATTCTCCGGGATACCCAGTTGAATGGAACACCGGTCCCGAAAGCCAATCGGCAAACAACAATTTGTTGAACTTTTATTTTTACGGCTTCGTATTAGCACAGCTGCTACTTCAGCGGGGAAGAGTCGAAGTCGTCTTTAAAATTATAACGATGACAAACATATATCCACATCGGAACGGATCGGAGCGGAACAGAAAGCAGCGTTATGCAAAAAAGGTGCAACACATTTTCCTGCCCCACACAAAAACAACTCTTTGTGTGTTCCTGCTATACAAACACGATAGTGGTGCACCTATAAAATGAAGAGCCTAACGGATCGAAAGTGGTGGTGGTGGTGGTGGTGTTGCATGTGCTGGAATTCGCCTTCCTGTCCTTACTGGGTTGCAAGGTTCTCGGCAACACGGCCCTCTGTTCAAATACACCTTGCATGCATCATAAAAAGTCGCCTCTTCCGCCTGGAAAAGCGATAAGTACACTAAAAAAATGGTGACCTTTTCTTTGTATAAAATATTATTTATATATAAGTCTTTTTACATTATAAAATATAAGTTTTAATATACTAAAATAATATTATGTATATTTATAAATAAAAAAATAACTGAGTTACATATCTTGAAATATAAATCCTAAGTTTTTTTAAAAAAAAGCATACAAAATAAAAAATTCAAAAATTAACAGTAAATTATATTTATATATAAGAAAATCCCTTCAAAACTTTAAAGCCTTGTACTAACTTTATACTGGATATTTCACTATTTACCAATAATATTATGAATTGTTGAAAGACTTACAAATATAAATTTAAAATTTTTGTTTAAGTGCTCTAAAGTGGCAACTTTGGGGTGGTTTCCTCTCCTTTGCCGATCGCTGGTCAAGGAGATAAAAGGGAGAACTTTTCCTGCTCGTCTACCTGTCAAGTTTACGCCTGACAGCGTTTGATATTTTCCTCGAGCCTTCGCTGCCAGCTGCTCCTGCGAGTCCTTGAAAAAGGGATATACGCCCGAGTTGAGGTTGCAACATGTAGCAAGTACTTTGAAGAGGGTGCATTATATAGGGGTGGCTAGCTTTGCACCTACGACAGGTGGTGATCCTAAGGATGGGCCCACTCCGAATTTGTTTAAACATTAGGCACTTATCAAGCGGTTATCTATGAATAGAAAGAGGTACAGTTTTGTGAGCACGTTGTTCTTAGAAGAATGATCTATTTCTCGTTCTTTACTATTCCAACTAAACTTTAAATTAGATAGGCATCTTGTGTATTACCAGCTGTCCTAATGCGTGACTAAAATTAGTAGGACTTTGAATAAATTAAAAATTATTATTTAAATGGTTGCATATAAATTCGAAAGAATTTCCTCAGCACTAGCGAAAAAATATATAACTCATATAATATGTATGATATTGTTTATTGTGGTAACTTAAAATTGTAACTAAATAAATATTTTGAAGTATAAAATAATCTGTTACAATAATAATTTGGCAGCTATTTTACCATAAATAATTTTGAATAGGTGTGTTTTTTTTAGGAACTTTCCATTCTTAAGTTTTTGTTTGACAACACCAAGAACTCGAGCATATATTACCGACACCCTCATAGAAGACTGATCAAAGGTTGACACCAGCTAAATACCATTTCTATGCCAGGTTTTTTTTTTAAGATATTACGAACCTCAATGCATTTATAATCGCACTAACCCCTTTGGAATGCCCACAATTACATGGAAATTAATGCTCCCCGGCTCAGAAGGTTCCTAGCACGATCCTCGGTCATGTCTCCGTGGAAATACGTGAGTGAGCAGAGTTAAAGAACGGCTTCAATTGAAGTTCAATGAAATGTGTCGCCCGCGTGCGCTTTGATTTTATTGCCCGCACTTAACATAATGAGCCGCACCGATAAAATCACGTTTCCTATCGCGCGGCGCATGCGCAATGCTCGGTACTCGATTCCAGATTCCAGTGCGCATATGCTTCCTGTCTCGCCGGATATTCCTTTGAGTACCCGGCTCCATTGTCATCCGCGTCTGCAGCAGTGCACCACTGAAGTTCAAAGTGCACGGAGCGAGGGATAGGGATCCATTGAATGCCAAGTGCAGTCGAACAAAGGATACAGCGCACACATTTCCACCATACACCACCTGTTTCCTTGGGCTTTTGTCGGGTTTTCATTCGGGATTTACGCGAAGAGGAAGTTCATTGAACTGGGATTGCTATTGCTGCAATTGAAATCGTAACGAGTGTGCAGGGGTACAAAAAAATATGGAATGAGAATTGGTTCCTAATAGTAGTAAGAAACTTGCTTTAATACATATGGTACTTGTGGACTTTTATTTTTAAACATGTTGGTGATTCAGTAACAAATATTTTTTTAATTGGAAAAGTACTAATGAATTATGGAAGTATACAATCAATTACAGCCATTTTAAAAAGGTTATTCGTAGCTATCATATTATCATATATAAACCGTATTTGGAAAATAAACTAAAAATTGCCATCTTTACAATTAAACATTATTGTTATTCAAATTTTTGCATAACATGTTTTTTATTGTTTTTGCATATTAGCATATAAGCATATTCATATTTGGCTGGATGTTTATTTGATGTTTCTCATAAAACTGAATCTCAGTACTTGTACTTCAAATAGGCCTCGAAGAGCATGTTGGAACGCCAGTAGCGCCGGTCCTCCTCCATGAACTGCATGACATCCCTGATGTTCAGATGCTTGAACCTCAGGCCAAATGGCTTCTGAACCGGGACATTGGCCGGAGCACTAATGGCAACCGGAGTTGGCTCCGGTACTGGATCTTCTGCCCCACGCTTCCGACCGCCGATGGCCAACATGGCAGTGTCATTCACCGACTCCACACGCACCGACTTCTTCTCCTTTTCGACGGTCTCCGCCCGGCGTTTGCGATAAAAGGCGGCATCATCATCCGACGATCCATAGTCGGCCATCTCCAGGTCGTTGAGGAACATCATCGTGGTCCTCATATCGTTCTTCATCACACAGCGCTCGTCCTTATACAGATGATAGCCACATCGGTGTTCGCACAATTCTATAGTTTTCTTCAACACAAACTTCATGTAGGTTTCCAAGGCGGACAGAAATGCATCCAAGAGGGATTCGCAGTCCACCATACATATGTCATCCGCCTTGTTGTTTTGGGCAAAATGTTTCAGTATCTTCTTCAGGATGCTATTACGATCGAAAAAAGAGATCCTTGTTTTCTTCTTGTTCGATTTGTTCATTTCTATTTTAGCTACGTCTGGCAGAATGAGGTCCTTGATGATGAGCAGCTCACCAGCATACGGCTGAATGGGAACTTCGATGGGAATAACTGACATTGTCTTCGATTTAATTAAACAATTCGGAAGAGGTTGATGCTTCTCAGTGAAAAATTAACAAATGACAATCAGGATCACAGGCTGCTTGTCAAAAATACTGAAAAAGTCCAGGGCTTCTGCAATTGTATTTGTCAAATGTTAAATTTCTCAATACTTTAAAGTTTAAGTTTAAAATAAAGTTACGTCTTAAATTAAGTTAAAAATTATAATAAATTTATTGAGAGTGGTATACTTTTTTTCTACTATTATATTTTTGTTTGGAGATTACAATTATTGAACAATAGTTTCATTCCGTTCGATTTTTATGGTATCAAATTCCCATTAAGAGATTTTAAGAACCCATCAGCTGGACTCCTAAATTCCACTACAGCCCTTATCCTTTGCCACCCAGCCAGGTGCTATAGCACCTATTGCACCACAGTGCTGCCACGAGCCACCAGCAACACCTACGAGGAAACATATGCCGGCATTCAGCGCTTCAGTGCACCCACCCCTTCTGGACTTGCTGACCGCAACATTTTCCTACACTCAAATAAAACATACCGTCTTTCTTTATTTTCTTTAATTCTATTGTTAAAAACCCAATCAAAAAAATGCTTTCATCAACAAATTATGTTTTTCCTTTCATTAGACGTCTATTTGTGATTAAATAAATAAGAAATAAAAATAATTATGTTTAGATCTAAAGAACTAGCGGAACATTTGGAATAGTTTTTATGGTAGCCACTTAATTCTGTAAATATATATGTATAATATTTTTGAATGTCGCAGAAACCCTGAACAGAGCTAAAGTTTGGAACTAAATAATTGTAATAAGCTGAAAACTAATTTTTAAAAAATAAATTTGTTTTGGAATTAAATATTTGTTTTAAATTTTGAGGAAATTCAGTATCAAACATTTAATATGTCTTTAAATGGATAACAGATTTTGTATAAAATAAATTACTTAGAGGGTTGTCACTTAAATCTGTAAAATATATTTTTGGGTGTCTTAGACACCGTAAACAGAGATTTTCAAGCTGAAAGGTAAAGTAAGGTAGGAATTTAGAAAATAAATTTGTTTCAAAATAAATTATGTCAATATAATTATGTCCTAAAAATAAAAAAATACATAGGAATTTAAAAAAAAAAACTGTTTAGGAATTTAAATAGATTTAAAACTTAAATGAAAATATGAATTTATGAATTCAATTGATATTTATTAAAATACCATTTAAGATTGAATTTTCAAGACTTTTTCTGTGATGTAGAGCTAAATCCATTTTTTTTTTCAAATATTTATTTCGAGTGTCTGACACGGCCCACCAACTCCTCCCGGGCTAAGCACTTGTTCCTGTTCAATGCCCAGCAACAGGAGGAAAACGGGGAGGAGGAGGAGTAGGAAAAGGAGCACGAGCAGGCGCAGGACACGTTATGCAAAGTGCACAGGAATGCAAGTGGGCCTTTTCGGGCGACTGGCGACGGGCACGAGCGCCTAATTATTCAAATGGAGGCGGTCTGATGGAATGCCCTCTGTCCTAGACATTAAATAAAGTCCGTCGCCGGTCGGGGTGAGCGGATATTAGTGAAAACAGCGGCGCGCGACAGTCGCCCGTTTACTATGTCTCCCAACTCCTGTCGCCGTGTCCCGCACATTTCCGTGCACCACTGAACTTCTGGCCCGAAAGATCATCATCGTATGTACGCACATATAAGGGTGTGCTGGGCCGCATATTTAATTGCCGCCTTACCTGACATTTCCAGGAGCAAGACGCGTGTTGTTTTGACGTCTCTCGGCCCGGCTAGAAATTAGAAATTTATTAGAAATGCAAGACGAGTGAGAATGAGTGTCTTTGTCGGCCAACTCAACTTCCGAACAGGTTCATTACGCGTGCCGACGACACTCGACGCGGCGTTGACCTAATTACCTGTTTATTTTTTTTATTTTGTAAATTTCGTGCCCTTTCTACTTATAGGGGTAGCTATATAATTGCTGCTGCTGCGGGTGGTTCGACGGATGTCACTACAGCTTAACTCCAATGCAAGGTGCAATATGTTTGCAGGAAAGTATTCTAAAAGTTGACCAAAGGAACTGTACTTGTAGTTCAGTAATTAAGATTAAATTAACTATAACTGAACTTAAATATAAACAATGGTTTCCAGTCCCTTAATTATATTTTTTAAGGTATTTTAACCTAAAATGTATGTATCTTGTTATATTGATTAGTTGATTTTATATAACCAATCATGCAATAAAAATGTATTAAAAAATGTAAAAAAAAGAGCATACTCTTACGCGGTTAAAGTTTTTCTAAGTTGTTTTTATTTATTTTAAGATAATTTAGTAATATGGTGTTGGTTAATTACACATTTTTTTTTTGAAGGCAATGTTTTGCATCCAAATCTATTTCCATTTTTTCCTTTTTTTTCTAGTTTCCTCGTCTTCTATAAACCGTGTTATTTGCCACCCAACAACAGTTGAAAATGCAGATTCCATGCGCCTTGCATAATCCACACATGCCATTTCCGAGGAGCAAACCGCATAAACTAAGCTAACAATTCAACTAAAATGCCAACCAGATAATAAAACTCAAATCGATTGAAGAAGTGGAAGCATTGGCCTTTCCGAAAGATGAAAAATGGAAATAAAAAAATGCGAACACGAGGCTGGGAGTCGGGAGAAAGACTTGCAGCCGGGCAGGGCATGCAAACGACCACCCACACATTTTGGAATCGGAGTTGGAGTTTGCCGTTTGGAGGTGGAGCTTGGAGTTGGATGCAGAGCATCCTCGCCGCCTGCGCAGTGTCAAATAGACAACCAAAACCACCGCACAGAGAAAGAAATATTTTAAAGTAAAAACCTACTCATATACAAAAATCAATATAAGAATCAAACTTTCCAAAAAAGTCTAAAAATTAATATAATCGAATTTTTTAATTTTCTTTGACTGTTAAATTCTAAATTCCTAAGCCAGTTATTTTTTTTACTATCATTTCGGCACTACGGTCATTTTTTAAGTAATTCACAATTTTTTTGAGTGCAAAAAAGTGTTGCGTGGAGCGCAGGCGTAGCCTCCACAGGACGGACAGATGCAGTTGAGACGACTCGAGATGGAGGCATATTCCAGCGAATAAATATTATCATATGGAAATTTCACTGCGGAGCAATTACGAATGCAGCCAAACGTTGTGGCAAGTGACCTGGGAGACGTCAATCCAGGCACAGGAAATCGAAGTCGCAAGTCGACGGGTTTGACGATGATGTAGCACCGCCAGCTTTTATGCACTGCTCACGGAGCTGTGTTCCCCCAAAAACCCACCTTCCCCTACATAACCCATCTCCATTTGGACCATGTTCATAGAGATCGCAGCGTGTCGCAGTCGTAGAAAGTTTGAATGGAGCATGCTAAGTCGGGAACTGTGGCTGCAACCTAAGATGAACTTAAAGGGTTTAATCACTAAAACAAAATGGTTTAAGAGTTGTTAGTTAATTAGTAACAAAAAAAATTGTTAGTACTAAAAATCCCTTAAATCATATTTTGACATTTCCTGACTGTGCGTCAACTAAACCCAATATTACAAAAGTTATAAGTAAATATTGTATATATATTGTATATTTTATAAAGCTTTGTTTAAATAACAAATTACATTTTTGTAATTACTAGGTACTTATATATATTAAAAATATATGATTGAATTGAATTTATTCCCATTTCTATTTATTTTGAGTCAGTACAATAAAATGTATAGTTTTAGGATTGATTATTGGGTAACTTTTTTTGGGTAACCTCAAATAGTATTCTTTTATTACATTACTTCATAATTTTGATTAAGGTTTCATTTTATCAAGATAACTCCCATTTTGAGGCCTTTTTTTTTTAAATTAAATTATTATTATTAAACTCTTTTATTAAACTCTTTAATCATTACCCCATGATAGTTTCTCTTATCGGGTCTCCACTGTTAGCTGACAGACCCACCAGCAACAGCAACCATATCCACATCAGCGGCTTTGCGTACCTGTTGGAGCTGCGTTTTTGGGGGCGCAGCAAATGAAATTGCCAATTGTTGCGCTTTCGGTGGCAATGGATGTGGATGTGGATGTGGAAGTGGGGGCCACGGCTACTGTTTGGGCCTCGTTGCTGCCACACACCTTGCAGCTGGAACGGAAGCGAGCCATCTCTGGAAGATCTCCTGCGGGTCGCCGTTGTTATTGCTCGGTCTTGCCACTTTCAGCGCTGGCTGCTGCCTTTTAAAGCCATTTTAATATGAGCGTTGCACATCTTGTGGGTGTGGCTGATTGGGCAGGCCAAAAAGCTAAGGCAGCGGAGCAAACCAAACAAAAAACAAAAAAAAAAAAAAATGGATGAGCTCGGGCCCAGCCCGATGATCAATCTTGGCCATGGAAACGCTTTACGACGAAGACGACGATGATGATGATGATGACGACGACGACGTGGACTTTGTGGCCGCTGATGGTTTTGATTGCAACCACAGCCCAGCAGCAGTTTTGCAGTGGCTACTGGTTTTTGCCACCACTTAAGTGGGCGTGGGCATTTGAAAATGTTAGCCCCATCTGTCAGAGGAGGAAGCGATCTATTTGGCTTATGGAAATGGCAGACAGGCCATAGAAATGTTTCAATTATCAACAATTTGGCTAGTAATTAATGCCAAAGTAATGGCAAGGTGAGTGAGATGAACACCTGCATTTGAGATTTATTTTTTTATCCACCTAAAAAGAAGCGGAAGTAAATTGACACGCCTGCAAAAGGACACCTACAAACGAATTGTTATTTTCCCACTTCTAATTTATTTTTACAACACCTCATTTCCGTTCCCAGAATATCCCATTGAGATTGGCATTGACCTAGGAAACAGGTCACAGGAATTGCTTTGTTCACAGGTTTCTTCTTTTCCAAAAAGCAACAAGTGTGGATTGGTTTTTGTTGCGATAAATATCTATAAATTGCTTACAAATTTTGCAGGAAAAATGCAAAAGAAAATTACAAATTTGAAATACCATAAATCTATAGTTGATCGAAGGAAAGGTTAGCACATTTGTTTAGTTTGACATTTGAATA